TTGTTACACATGCTGAAGGTCAAAATCTACACTAAAAAGGCCAGGAGGAAAACTCCTTATGGTTTTATAGACCATAATCCAATTATGTCATCTTCTATTAGTTTGTATATAGTTGTACATATAATCTTAACTCAGATATTTTCTCTCTCCCTGTTTATAGCATCAGCAAGATAGTAGCTATTCATATATGAAGTCTTTTTTCTGGCAAAACTAGTCCTACAATTCAGAGTACAATACAGATGATCTGGCAGCAGCTTAAGCCCTTCTTGTCTACAAACAGGCCATCCTCATGTAGATACTTTAACATGTGCAAGTGGCAGAGCTGTGGGTTAATATAAGAGCCAGCTGAAGCCTTTCCATTTTTAAAAATGAGAATAATGTTGTTCTCCAGCATGGCTTTGAACTCTGAGGAACTTGAAGAGGCATGAAGGATTCCTATTTGATAAAGCATATTTACCCTCACCCCCTCTATGAAAATGATTGCTGCTAAGCAACATGTAAGACTAGGCCCTGACTCTTCCAGGGCTGTGCGAAGCTTTGGTCCCTGATTTGATTCAGCGGAGATTTGGCCCAATTCGATGGCCAAATCTCTGAATCTGAAACGAATTAGAGGACCCTTTAATCTCTCCGAATAGAATTGGAACTCTCTGAATTGATTCGGAATGATTTGGCGATTCAGACATAGAGACAGTTTTAAATGTTTTTTCTACATACCTCTAGGTAGCAGGTGGGTTGTGAATGCTGCTATGTTGGGGCACATGGAGTATCCCACAGAAGCGCGGGGGGCTCCCCAGCACACTCGGCAGCAGACCCGGAAATGGACCGAAAGCACTTCTGGTCCACTTGTGGGTTCGCTGCCGAGTGCGCGGAGGGCCTCCCTGTGCTCCTGTGGGACGCTCCATCTGCCCCAGCACCGCAGCATTCACGAGCTGCGCCTGGTACCTTGAGGTATGTAGAAAAACATTTAAAGCTTTATCTATATCTGAATCGCTGATTCTCCAAATCAGCATCAAATCTTCAGATTCGGATTTGGCCGAATCAAATTGGGGACAGTGATCCGAATTAACGAATAGAATTACTGTCCCTGATCCAAAACAAATAGGGCTTGTTTTGCACACCCCTGGTGTGTACACATGGTAAAGAACTGCTCCTATTGTATTCTTACCTCAAACCTGAACACTGTAGGCTCAGCAGACTTGCACTATGTTTGTGTCATGATGTCAAACCAAGAAAATGATATTTGATTCTGAAACCCCAAGCCATAGTATAAACAGCAGAAAAGGAAGAGTTGCATTGAAGTATCAAGCAAAAAACAAGTCTTATGCAGTTGGAGTCCTTCTGCAGAGCATGGTGAATATGGAGCCAACCCCTCCAAATACAACTGTTAGGTAAGGTAATCCCTCCATTTCTGTATTCCAGGTGTCAGGAAATCCCTTATACTCCTTTCTTATTGGTTGACTGAAGTAAATACAATTGCACAGCCTTATTTATCATCCCCTAAGAGTTTCTGTTATTAGAAATGTTAGATGATCATCAGCGAACACAAAAATGTTCAACCTACCCTTTCAGATACATATCTCTTCCCAAGGAGATGGGAATGTTTAACACTCAAATACAGTGTACACATCCATTAGGGTCTCTTTCACCTTTTTAAATGGCAACAGCTTGAGTCATAGATGGCAAATTCCTAGCAGGTCCATGCTGGAAGGTTTACATCCTAATCATATGTTACAATTTCTTAAATAACATAAAACAGGCTGTCAACAATTTTTAAATGTATGTGCTATCAGATTACTGAAGGCAAAATTCCAGAGAAAGCTACAGTAAGAAAGAGAAAAGCAAACTGTAATGCAAAAGCAAATGTACAAAAGTGCAAACTGTTACACTCTGAGTTGCATAACTGATTCAGATGAGACAACTCATGTAAGTAAAAATATATGTGTGCATAAATATGTGCATAATCAAGCCTTGCATCTACCTGGACTCATTTGCCAAGAAAGTGTTCGTTGTATACTACAATGATGACAAATCTCAATCAACCAGGGATAATGTACTTTTATATAAGTATTTAAATTTTGTATTATAAACATACAATAACAGTTAAAGAATATAGGAACTCAGCTGCAGCACACTTCTTAAAACAAATTTAGATGACCGTACTTTGAAGAAGCAAAAATATCAAGAATGGTTTAGAAATTAAAACCTCAAACAAACAAAAAAATGATTCTAGGCTTTCCTAACTAAAACAATAAATACACCTCTACTCCATATGGCTAGTTGTGCTTGATTATTTAACCCTGATACTGTCTAGCTCTGACACTGTCATTTGAAGATTTTCATGACTAAAGCATGAAGTGCTATCATTTGAGCTAAGGAAGTTCATGAAGGTAGCATGATATTCATAAACCTATTCTGTGGAGGGTGGGACACTGTAGAAATACGGTCACATCCACATTATGGTCAAGAAATACTTATACTAACAAGGCAAGGTTAGTTGGGTGAATCTCATATCTTTTATTAGACCAACTTAAATTGTTGGAAAAAAAAACTAAGCAAGGTTTTGGGTTTAAAAACCCTTTGTCAGGCTAAGGAAGTTTCAGTAGTTGGTGTGTGCTCTTCCTGGATGGAATGAAGAGTAAAGAAGCCAGAGACTGGGCTGGTATGCATACAAGACAGGCACTCAGTGAAGATGTAAATTGAGGAGTCAGTGGGTGAGACACAGGCTGGGTGGGGGGGGAGAAGGGGGATGGATAGTGGAGAGGGACCTGGGGAGTCAGATGTCAGGCAGGTTATAATACGTCATAAGATCCGGGAATGCTGATGGCTCTGGTGTGGGGTGTAGTGATTGTGGGGGTGGTGGAGATGTGTTGGCAGGTTTTGCATGTCTTGTCCTGGCATGGTCTGGATCCATTCAGTGTGTTCCGGGTCTGAGGAATTTTGCTTCTCGTGATGAGGTTAGTGAGGTTTGGTGCTTGTTTGAAGGCTAGGATGGGTGGCTCTGGGAAGATCCTTTTAAGAATAGGGTCTTCTTTCTAGTATGTGTTGCAATTCTTTGAGGATTTTCCATATGGGTTTGAGGGATGGGTGATATGTCATAACCAGCGGTGTGCGATTCATGGGGGGTTTTCTTCTGTACAGGAATACCCAATGTGGTATCCTGGTGGCTCTTTCAAACGTGCGATCTGTCTTTCTGGAGGAGTGTTCTTGGGTGAAAGTCTTTTCAAGATTCGTGAGGCGGCAATCCGGGGTGTTCTCCACAGTGCAAATTCAGTGGTATCTGAGGGCTTGACTGTATATCACAGCTTTTTTGGTGTGTTTAGGGTGATTGCTGGTTCTGTGCAGATATGTATGTTGGTCTGTGGATTTCTTGTATAATGAGGTCAGTATTTTGCCATTATGGATGCTGATCATCATGTCTAAAACGGAAATGTTGATGCTGGAGTATTCACGAGATAGTCGAATGGAGGGATTGTGATTGTTGAATTTCTGATGGAACTCAATCAGAGATTGCAGGTTTTCCATCCAAATTATGAATATGTCATTGATATATCTTAAGTATAGTAAGGGTTTGATGGTGCAGTCGTTGAGGAATTCTTCTTCCAAGTGGCTCATAAAAAAGTTGGTATACTGTGTGACTATTTTGGTGCCCATAGCTGTGCCCATGGTCTGGAGGAAGTGTTGGTTATTAAAAGTGAAATTGTTGTGTGTGAGGATGAAGTGTGTAAGATCAGTAATATCTTTGGGTCTGTACTCTGAGTTGTAATCTTGCTCTTGTAGATATGTAAGGCAGGCTTGGATGCCATCTTGGTATGGGATGTTGGTATATAGGCTGGTAATGTCCATGGTGTCTAGGAGGGTGTTGCTGGGAAGGTGGTCTATGTTTTTAAGTTTCCGTAGAAAGTCTGTAGTGTCTTGGACAAAACTTGCTCCTTGGGTGACAAGCAGTTTTAGGATTGATTCAATGAAACCTGATATTTCCTCAGTTAGGGTCCCATGGTTGGATATGATAGGTCTGCCAGGGTTCCCTTGTTTGTAGATTTTAGGGAGCATGTAAAAAGTCCCTGGGTTGGGTAGTGGGGGGGGTCAAGGTCTGTAGTTTTTCTTGCAGTCCTGATGGAAATGATTTGATGGCATTATTGAGTTTCATGGTGAAAAGGAGAGTAGGATCTTCTTGTAGTTCTTTGTAGTAGGTGGTGTCAGAGAGTTGTCTGTTGGCTTCCTTTACGTAGTCTTCATAGTTTAGGATGACTATGGCTCCTCCTTTATCTGCTGGTTTTATTATTATTTGGAGGTTAGATCTTAGAGATTCTACGGCCTCTCTCTCTGGTAGAGAAGGGTTGTTATGGTGGTGTGTGTTGTTGATTATTTCATTGCTCATTCTTTCCCTGAAGCAGTCAATGTAGCGGTCTAGGTTAGGGTTTCATCCAGTGTGAGGTGTCCAATCTGATGTTTTTTGGGGGGTTTGGGGGTTGAGTCACCCAAAGAACCTTGTCTGCCTATGTCCTTAGACCAACACGGCTACAATTTACACCCTTATACAAAGAATGTATTCAGTAATAGAAAATATGGACAAATTTACAGTGGACAAGAATGAGGTCAATCTGATATTGCTTTTAACATTCAGCAGACATACTACAGTTGAATTAAATAACAGACCTTCATTATGTTACATATATAAAAATATCGTACCTAACAAAAAAGTAAAAATGAGAGGGGGAATAAATTAGCAAGTTAATATTTTCAAACTAAAATATCCAACTCAGCAGATCAGCAATAAGTAGAGAAATGTTCCACCTCTTCTGAGCATTGATATAAATGATAATACCAGAATACTCAGGGTAGGTCACTGAAATGAAAATAGTTTTATATAATATCTCAGAAACTCACAATTTTGGGACTTCTTATTAAACTTTGGGCAAAGGGACACAATGTAAATGCTTTAATGAAGTACAAAAAAAAAAAAAGGCTGGGGGTGTGGGGCGGGGGGAATGTTTACTCACCCTCAGCCCTGGAAATCCAGGAGGTCCTACACCACCAACAATTCCCTTTTAAAAAAGTAAATTTGGGACAATCAGAACTTTAATCTAATATTTTAGTAAACTCTTCGAGCTGCAAAGAAAAAACTGGAGTGCTGGCTTGTTTCTGACCTAGAAAAAGGGCCTGCAGAGTAACTACTGTAACTAAAATTGCACATAAAGGACATAGTCTCTAAAACCTTTTTCTTAAGATATGAGACCTGGAAATAGATTTATCATTAGACATAACCACCCCCGCCCCACAAAACCAAATTAGATATGACATTCCAAGATTTTAAGAGAGGTGAAACAAACTTAAGGAAAACAGCTTTTCTTGGGGAGAAAAAGCACACTTACACTGCTCACATCCCTTTATTCATCACTAAGAAGTCAAAAAGGGAACTGGCTTTATTTTTAAAAAATTGTACAGATGTCTTTTAAAGATGATGATAGACAATTGTCTCTATCACCCTGAGGCCCCTGCCAGAAAATGCAGGTAAAGGTGCGATGGGATCTGATGCATGATCCACATGATCTCGCTTCATGCCCTGCCACACATGCATGGTCGGAAGCATGACTGGGATTAAGCATCGGATCCCATCACACCTTATTGCCAGTGCAGAGGGAGCCCAGAATCATATTGCAGCCTCCCCTGCACCAGCAAGTAGCAAGCTCCTATGGCTGGGAGCCTTGTCAGCTGATGATGGGTGCACCCCTGTGGCTGGGAGCCCAGATCAGCTGATGGGGCTCCCAGCTATGGGAGCCTTCCTGGCCACACATTCAATTAATGGTGTGATAGGAACCAGTCACAAAGCTATTACACATTTTTTGTGGAAAAACTTTGCGGCTTATTCCTTGTTTTATGACACTATTAATTGCTTTAACATGTGGCTGGCTTACAATTTAAGACGTGATTACCTGGTTAATCACGTCTTAAGTGTAATGTGCAGCAGGGGCTGAAATACATTAAATTTCACAACATGTAGCCAGGAAGTAACTAAAATTACTGCACATCTGAAATACATTTTATTACAGCTGGATTTTTATTTAAAACCTAAACTTAAGAAAATAAAATACTTTGAACATTTTTAGGAAATGTAACAAGCTACTGAGTCCACCCTAATCCATTCTGGTCATATTATTGCCCTGTGGCCAACAGTACTTAGCCACAAAGACTGCACACCCTGTACAGAGCAGGCAAATCTCTATGAGAAGGCAGGGTAGATTGAAACCTTATAGACTCTATTAGCCTCCCAGGGCTGCATCCTTCCCACCAATAGTCACAAGATGTTCATTTTAATCACCACATGGCCTGCTGGGTGATGAAAATAAGATCCAGGGCTCAGTGCATCACTCCCCATCAGAAAGTTGGAGTGGGCTGCATGAACTTCTGGGTCCAATGTGAAGCTGCTTTATCGAGCCATCCAGCTGTCTGAACCAAGATTGAAAGAGTGCCTTTTTCTTCTCCCTACTACTCATTCACTTTCTCCAAGCCACTTTTCACCACCAATAAGGAGGGCTCTATCCCGCAGCACGGCATGGACAGGGAATTTCTCCAGGGTTGATGTGTATGGTTCAGAGGTTGCGAGGGTTGAATGGACTGTCGACATCATTCCTCTGTTAAATAGACCAGGGCAGGAATGTGGGTACATGTGACATGCTCCAGCCACAGATGAGAAAAAGGAAGATACCCTGAGTCCTCAGGGAGCTCTTATCACCCCAGAGCTCCCTGCTCCACATCACCAGCCCTAGAGTATGCTCAGTAAATATCACATGAGCACAGCAACCTGACCTGAGCCCCCTGCAGCTGCAAGTCTGGCACCTTGCCTGAACAAGCCCTGCAGGGTGGGGTTTGGGCTGGCTGTCAAGCAATCAGTGCTATCAGCAGCTGTCTTGGCAGATTAGAAGGAACTCATTTTCAAATGTTTGGCACTAAAAGTAGTTCTTTGTGTTGTTTAAGTCTATAACTTAAGATCTAGATTTTCTAAATTTGTCTCCATTCAAGTGCTGCTTTAGCCCTCCAGGTCTTCTGGAAAGAATGCATCTGCTTTGCTGTGGGAGGTGGCAGTGTGGGAGGAAGTAAGGAAGAACTGACCTCTGTGCATAATTTGTATAGTAGTTGGTTAAATTTATAAAGCCTTTAAAATGCTTTCCAGGTGAAAAGTGCTGCATAAATGTAAGATATTATATCACCCAAATCGTTTAGTTCCATGGATCAGAAATGCAAAATATGCGTGAAAATGCTGGCACCACAGGGAAATAATGAGACCAACAGCATTTATTGAGACCAGAGTCTCTGCTTCAGTGAGATTCCAAGTGATGCAGCAGAAGAGGGCTGTTCCTCAAAGACCTGGTTATAAGATCCCTGGTTCCCTGCCTACCTCCTGCCCTCAGCCCTATTTAGAACAGCCCCTGAACCCCAACTGGCAGTGGTTCCCAAGGGACCATGGAGAAGCTAAGAACTGTAATCCAGCCACTCCTCCCCCCACCTCTCTGCCTATGGGAAGGGTACTGATGATGAGCCAACTATCCTAGCCCTTTATATTCTGGGAGCTCTTTTATGTCAAGGGAAACCCCAGTTAGGGAGCTGTAGACAATGTCACCTGGGAATGGAGCAAGACAATTCCTTTGAAAATGAATACCTTAACAGTGACACAACTCATATATTTTGAGCGTTGCTCATTAGAGCTTGTCTGAAGATGTGCAACCAAAGAAAAAACAGTCACTTTGCTAATGCTCATTTACTAAATGGTAGACCAGCTAAAGTCTGGTCTGAAGCTTATTCAGTAGTAGTTCAAAGAGAAAACCTAGCAAAGAAGTATGAATCATCATAACAAGAAAGAAGCATAATTCAATATCCTGTTTGCCATCAGACAACTCTGAGGTAAACAGACTGTTCCAACCTTTACCTGAGCCTATTTTGCATAAAATGAGCTGTTCCAACCAGGAGATCTTACACCATCTTTCAGCTGTCCTGTGAAATATGAATTTTCATTTCCACCAGGGAGAAATATTACAATCTTTGCACTTTACTATGCCTGAGGAAGGGTGTGCATGCCCAAAAGATCCAGTTGGTCTAATAAAAGACATCACCTCCCCAAGAGTTCTGATTAGCAAATAAATAAGCATACAAAAGCCAGTTTCCTGATACACAAATCAGAATTTCCTCCTTTAAAGATAATCTTGGACTCTGATTTAATTATACCAATGCAATTCATATCCTAAGACCTTAGTCATTCAGAATTTTAGTAACAATCTACTTTTTCTACTTAGCCTTAAACAGGAATGGGCTGATTCTCAAAGTTGCCAAATGCCTGCAGCTCCCAATGAGAGCTATATGCAATCAGCAGCTTTTAGGCGGTCCTTGCTTTCCAAGATTTTATAGTGCTGCCAACTAGAGTTGTGCGAAATTTTGCTGGCTGTTTTGTTTCGACACTGTTTTGACTCATTTTGAGCTTGAAACAGCAAAATTGAAATGAAACAAAGGGCTTCAAAACAGCTTCGAAATAAAACAAGGCTAGCAGAAACATTTTGAAAGTTTCAAATTTCGAAGCAGCCAGCTGGTGGGAGACAGGGAAGAACTAGGGCTGCACTTCCAGTGGCCCCATGTGGCTCAGCCCAGCAGGGAGCGCAGCCCTGGCTCTCCCTGCTTCCCACAGCTGGGCTGTGGGAAGCCAATCTCAGTCCACGGGAAGGGAACTGAGCCTGGGCTCAGTTCCCCTCCCCAGTGCTGCAATCGAGCTGGGGAAGGGAGCTGAGCCTGATCACTCAGTTCCCCTCCCCAGCACTACAATAGAGCTGAGTTCCCCTCCCCAGTGCTAGGATCCGGGTGGGGAAAGGAACTCAGCCCAGCTGAGCTGAGTTCCTTTCTCCAGCCCGATCATAGCACTGGGGAGGGGAACTCAGCCCAGCTGGGCTGCGTTCCTTTCCCCAGCCTGACTGTAGGGCTGGGGAGGGGAACTGAGCGATCGGATTCAGTTTCCTTCCCCAGCCTGATCGATTCCAGTGCTGGGGAGGGGAACTGAGCAATCGGGCTCAGTTTCCTTCCCCGGCTTCCCGGTTCCAGGTGGCAGCACCCAGCTTCACTCTGTCATCTGGCAGGCAGATTGGGGGCCGCAACCCCGGGAGGACTGGCACAGCCCCTGAAGCCCTCCCAGGGTGGGCTCTTGATCTGCCTGCCGGATGAGAGAGGCTGTTTTGAGCTTCCTCATTATAGCCTATGGGTGAAACATTGAAACAGCATCAAAATAGTATTATTGTTTTTATCAAACAAAACAGAACAGTGGTTTTGAATCAAAATGAAATTTGAAACGAAATGCTGTTCCGTCGAAACCTCGAAACGCATGTTGAAATGGAACGGTGCCATTTCACACAGCCCTACTTCCAACCATTATGCTATCTGAGCACCTAGCAATAGCAAGTTTTCTTGTGAACATCCTCAATTCCCGTTTTAGGGTAAAAGCTCTGATCATAGTTATATATTATATTTAATTTTTTGTCAGGTTTTGTCAGTTTCAATTTTAATGACATCAGATTTCACATCGCAAAGGCAACAAGCAATTCGATACTTACAGGACTCCCATCTGGACCAGGGGGTCCTCTGTTTCCAAATTCACCTGGAAAACCCTGGGAACAAAAGGGACATAGCTTAAAACCACAGTGATCACAGGATGTTTGTGTTGTGCTGGTAAGAAATCTTGCAATAGTAAACAACTGGCTTTTTATTTGTTTTTTAACTAAGGCTGAAGTGGGTGTTCAAAGAAGCCTACAGATACATTAATTTTCCTTTGGCACATAGTTCCCTTAGGCTCCTTTGAAAAATCCCTATCCAGATCATCTAAAGGTAATGAAAAGTTAGATGACACTGTCACAACCCAAAGTTGTGGTTTTTTTGTTTGTGTGCGCTTCGGCACCGCTAAATTGTGTTCCCGCTAAATTGCAGCTCTTTTGCACGGTGGAGTGTTCTGTTGTAATAGAGAACCCGCGTGCAGGAGAGTATTTCCCGCCAGTTTTGTAGCCTTCTTTGCATGGTGCATTTCTTTTGCATTATAGTGATATACGATGCAAAGGAGTTCCCGCCATTTGTATTAAGATTTCTGCCACATTATTGGCCAATCTTAATATAGGCACACGTGGCGGCTAGCTATTGGCTTGCTAGCCATACAAAAGGCTTGGGTAGTTTCCGCCCAAGTCAGAGAGAGAGAAAGCACGTGGAGTTCAGGAAAAGAGCGTGAAGATCTCTAAGTGCTGCTGATCTCTTCGAACCCAGCTTTTTCCTTAAGAGGGCAACAGAGGTTTAATTTGCCGAACCCACGGAGCTTCAACAACTCCGGGGAACCTATTTACTGAATCCTCGGAGCCTTAACAACTCCAGGGCCAATAACCTCTAGCCTCTCCCCGTCGTCGATCGCAACCCTAGACGTATCCCTATCCTATGGACCCAATTTTCGAACCCACGGAGTCTTAACAGCTCCGGGGGACGTGGGAACCGAACAAAACCCACAGAGATTCAGCTGCTCCGTGAGAGAGAATTGTTAAACCCGCGGAGCCTAAACCACTCCGGGGTCAAGGAACCGAGTCTATCAGAGTCCTCCAATGAGAACTCAAGCGGAGCTGCGCCTGGAAGGCTGACCAGCCTACACTGCGACCACCTTGGGTGTAAGTAAATAATCTTTTCAATCAACCATTACGCCTCCGTGACTGATTCTAGCTCGAGCGTACCATACCGCGCCGCGGTTTTCTCTGGCCCTGCGTGCCCGGGCTGCTGGCCACAGCCTGTGTGCACAAAGACGGGCCCAGCTTGCCCCCGAGATGGGGAGCCGGCCGCACAGACACCAGCAGGGAGGAAAAAAATATTGCAGCTGCCCATTTCAAACCACACTTATATTGATTTTCTCATTCCAAAATTCCATCTAATATGCAATCATATAACTTCCTTTGAAAGTAAGACTGGCAGAGTCACACTCTTAAGCCTTTATGAGGGCAATATGATGCATGTATCCATCGGAATGTTGGGATCCTGACTCCTAGTTTTGTGCCTTTACCACAAGACCACATTTCTCCAGTGCCTATAATATTTTCCTAAAAACTGAAAGGTATTTCAGACAGCAGATTCAATGCAACACGTGTATTGGAAACCAATGGGAGATCTGAGAGTGAAGCACTGCTGCAGGTTAAACTCTAAATTTCTAATCATTCTGGTGCAAAGCTCTCCTTACCACTGTAAACTAACACACAGTTGTCTTGTTGAGTCTACAGCTAGAGACTGAAACAGTAGCATAAATGAAGCATGAATTTCCTCATTTACCTTCTCAGTGTTGACTTCAGCGGTTAGTTAGGAGGAGTAGCAATCCTTTGTTATTATGAGGATGTGGATGGAATCTAATTGGCCATATTTCTATTTTGAGCCAAATTTAACATTTGTTTTCTGGAGGGGTCTATGAAAGTAGACTGGGAGACTTATTGCGTTCCTGCAACCATGACCTCCCTTGCTCCCTCCCAAGGTCGTATAGATCCTATTTTACTTCCTCCAGATGTTGCCAATGGAAAAGGAGCAAAAACCGTTTTAATTTTAAAAAAAATCATATCACTGTGCTGTCCTCATCCAGCTCTCACTAACCAAGTGAAAGAGCCACATATACCTGGGAGGCTTTGGTGTGGTCCAGCAGCCCTACACAAAAGTTGGGACCCGCAGGGTCAACTCAACTCTTTGTAAAGAAAACCACATTATTGACAGGAAAGCAATGAAAAACAGAAGGCAGGTGGTTGCTGCAGAGCTGCAGAGACTGATCTGTTGTAATGTCTTGATGGTATAGAAATGGCAGCAAACAGCACATCATTAATATTTGCCAACATTAAATTGGAAGAGGATTAAGGCTGGAAAAGTGCAAACTGGTATCTCCAAGGGAAAGATAACCTAAATATGACATTATGGCTTTCTAATAAATGGGATTAGTTGCAACTAGTAGTAGAACTTAGGGACAAGTTGCGTCAGTTTAGCTTTCACATATTGTGAGGTAATTGTGAGCAGACAGTTAGACCCTGGTAGTTATTTCCCAGTAAGTCCCCAACCCTCTTCATTTTAATTTGATCATTTGTCCATACCATAGAAAGCCAGTATGTCACCCACAGGTATGGTAAAAAATGCTGTGTCTTATGTAACAAAAGTAACAATACATTTAAACGATTACAGGACTGGCCAAATGTCATAAAACAAAGATATTATGGAAAGAAATTGCATGCGTGCATACAAGATGAATAAAATATGTATTCCTTAATATATACTGTGCATCCAACTTATTTATAAGACACACAATTCTACACTTTATAATCTCTATAATTAAAATTTGGCAAATTTAATAATATTTTGTTACATTACCAAGGATATGATAAATATTTGTAATTATTCTGTTACTCTGTTAACTGGTAGCATTTTGAATACTAAGGATATAGTTTGTGTCAGATGATTGTTGTAGTAACTGAAATGCCATTCAGACAGTAAACAAAATGATAGTGAGAAAAAATAGCTATCTATATGGATACCTTCTAATGTGTCCATTACCATAGACTCTCATGACAAATAAAAAAGAAAACAAAAAAAATCCCCTATCACATTTACCTAGAAGAAGACATTTGTGTCTATCTCTCAACCTTTGACTGCTTTCTAAAATGAATTCATATCTGATATTTACCTTTTTCCAAAAGAAAAGTTATTAGATCATTCTTTTTCCATTAATCTTATTGGAGGAAAGCTTGGGAACATGAAAAATACAATAATGGGTCAGTCCATCTAGCCCAGTATCTTGAATCCAATATGACAAGTAATACATGCTTTAGAGGAAGGGCATTTAACTGGGTATACTAGAGCAGGGGCAGGCAAAGTCTGGCCCATGAGCTGGATCAGGTCCATGGCGTATTCTATGTCCCAGCAGACCCTGCCCATGTTGCTCCATCCAGTTTCCATGGAGACCCCAGCAGTGGCAGGGTTTTATGAAAAAGACATGAGAAGAGGAGGTGGATGCCCCCTGGTTCTAGCATTCTGGGAGTTGGTGAATAACAGTTCCCTAATCACTTTGTTCACACCCTTCGTTATTTTATAGACCTCTATCATATTCTTCCACTCAGCCTTCTCCTTTCCAAATTAAATTCCTAGCCTGTTTAGTCCCTCCTGCTATGAAAACTATTTTGTATCTGATTATTTCTTGGTAACTTTTCTAATCCTACTACAGGGAAAAGAGATGAGTCTTGCATTGCACTTGAACCAGAAGACTAGGCCTTGCATTTCTGACACTGGGAAATCCTGAGCTATGGACAGACATTCAAAAAGCCTGAGCTTGAATTGATTCGGTCTTTGCAGGTTAGTTTAACCTGGCTAGGCTGAACTGGTTTGCAACCAGACAGACATTCTCTCTGGACTGAGGAAATTCAGGCACATGCCTGCAGTGGCTCAGGCTAGAAGTCAGGCCAGGCCCTGGCAGGACATTCTGATTAGGGAAGTCTGCCTGCACTATCTCAGGTTTTTCCCCACTTGCTGCTCAAGGCATGGGAGCGCCCAGCCCCCTGCTAACACTCTGAGGGAAGTGGGGGGCGGGGCAGGGGGAAGGGGGTGCAGTGCATGCATCCATTGATGATACCGAGCTTTTCAATCTCCCTCCACTTCTTTATACTGTCTGCAGCAAACTGACAGGCAAGCAAGCCAGCAGGAAGCTGATAACAGTGTTTATCACCTCATCAGCAAAACAATAGCCTCTCTCCATTAATTCAAAATCTTCTTAAACAGCTTAGGCTGACCTGTTGATTAGCTCCAAACAGCCCTAAGTGGTCACTGTTCTGTCTGCCTGTCCCAGTGAAATTGGAGACACACGTATGTCTGCATTAGTTAGCATAGCACATGCCTAGGGTCTATGGCACTGGGGTCCCTGCTGTGGGAGATGGGAGGGAGTGGGGGATTTCCTGCTTGAGCAGCGAGGGGGTTGGGGTTGGGTAGGGGGAAGCCAGGCAGACCCTGCTGTGCCTGAAAGTCTCTGCTGGAGCTCCAGCCAGGGAGCAGAGGGGAGAGACCAGCCCTGCTGTGGATCAGAGAGCCCCACCCAGCCCAGAGACCATGCCAGGATGCTGGAGGTATCTGGTTTATCTTAAACCAGGAAGGGGTCTGGGACAGACATTGCATAAACTAGTTTGAACCAAATCGGTTAAGTCTGATACTACATTCAACCAGGTTTATCTCAAACCAGTTTCAGCCATTTTCAAACTAGTTTATGTGCATAGAACATCTGTTCTGTTACATGTTTAAACCAGTTTCTGATCACTTTAACTGGTTGATATGTAATGTCTGTCCCTCACCCTGTAGTCAACATTCCATTACTGAGAATGCTTTTCCCCACTATTGAGAAATTTACTGTAGACAGTTAAGTCTTTGTCAAGCATAGCTATCCTGGTGAGGGTTGAAGGAACAGGCAGTCTTCTGAGGCCCTAATTCAGCGAAGTATTTAGACTTGTACTTAAGTGTTTTGCTATGTTGGGCATAGTGATAGCTAGAACTTTAAAGCACTGATTTGGCTAAAAGTAGAGTTAAGGTCATGGAATTCTTTTCAGACTCAAGAAACAGATTTGGCATTAAATGGAAAGCTAGTTCTAAAATACATAGAACTGTTCTGTCTGTGGGCTGAAGCAGTCCAGTGAGATTGAGACTAAATATGACCTTGCCCACCAAATGTCACACCTTTAGTTGAAGATGAGGTTGTAATTTCAACCAGATCTTCAAAGTTCCCCATCAGCATTACCTCCTTTTCTCCCAGACTTAACATAAGCCATCTGCTTTGTATCCAAGTGCTTCTTCTCAGAACATGACTGAGGGAGAGGGTTTGGCTTTCTCTGTAGCCTGGTACATAGTCCTCTTTCAACTGAAATTCTATTAACCTAATAACTTTCATGCATTGAAGGGCCAGTGCATGAATGGTGCTCTTGTCTTCTCTACCTTTCACCTGTGTTGCACTGGGGGTGTTTTGGGGTTTATTTTCAGGAGGTATTTGTGGCATTGGGATCTGTGTGGCTATGGAGTGAATATTTTTAAGACTCCAGAAAAATGATTGCCTGAAAACATAGGGGACTAGACTCAATGGTCCAGGCCCCCTCCCACCCCCTTACCTACCAGCTAGGACGCTGCACATAACTAACAGGAGAAAATTATTACTGGATGCCATAATAACACTGATAGCACAGAGCTGCTAGTGCAGTGCTTCCCCAACTGCAGAGCCATGTCTTACAAAGATGGTCCACAAATTATACCATAAACTGTGTTCGAAGTACCCCACTGACAGACTCAACCCTATCCCCTCAGCAACAGTACAACTCTGTGGCTACCCTCCATCATGCAACCCAATGCGACAGAGGCACCCGCAGGCAGGGCCTAAAAACTGAAGGCTGGAAAGAAGGGGATCAAGTCTTAACCATTTTCTTTTGCTTATAGGCTTTATTTTCAATTTGCAGGGTCTGATTTCTCCAAGGTCAGCACCTGTTTGAAATGTGTACTCCAAAAGTGTTTAAAAGGGTCAGAGGCCTTGCATTCTGCTGGATTTGTCCTATAACAACAACTTTTTCTTCTGCATCTTAGCTTCTGGTGATAGTTTTCTTTTAATGTAACAGCATGAAACAGAATGATAACAACCTGAACAGGGGATTTTAATAAAAAGTCCAAGTTGATATAATATCTGAGCCAAGGCATGTTTATAAGCAAGGAGAGACAGAAACATAAAAGGAAAATAATTTCCTTAAGCTCCTTCCAGAGTAACTTTATTAACGTTTGATTTAGCCATACTGGCCATATCCAGGGCCAGATTTAGCAGGCCCTAGGTGAGGGCAGGAAAGGCAGGGGCCCAGGTGCATCCCCCACCAGTATCCCCCTTCCAAGAGCTTTTTTTTTTTTTTTTTGTGTCCCAGGTCAAATTAGCCAAATCAGTCATGATCAGTTCCAAATCCTTTGAATCATTCAAGAACTATATGTGGCCCTATAACCAGCAAGTATCCTCCACCCCAAAACTTTTCAGCTTGGGGCTTGAGATACTTCCAAATCTTTTGGCAGGTATCCTACATGCAGGCCCAAACCTGGAGGCTTGGGGTTCAGATGCTCCCGAGTTTCACTTGCCCTTAACCGGATGGCTGCAGAAGCAAGCTAGGGAGAATCTCCCATTTCCATAAAGTTGGCATGTAGGGATCTCGGGATCCTCCCACTGGAAGCTGGCCAGTGGGAAGCTAACTATGGAGGCTCTTGTAGAAAGTCCTGTCTGCAAGCAAACAAGGGTGCACCCTCCACTACAGAGTGCCATATTAATTGCATTACTTTGGTCATAGGATTATCCCCAGCTCCAGCAAGTGAAGAAACCTCTTCTCATCTTGGTGCTGCCATTGCAGAGCTATGTGACCCAGTTCTCACTCACTCACTGGCCAGTTTTGGTGAGCAATGTGGAGTAAGTGAGGGGAGGGCTTATTTGCATATTTTATTTATCTATGTTGTACTAACATTCATTTTTAAAAATCTGTGTATGCATTTTTGTGCTCTGTTAACCCTTTGGTAGCAAGCATTGAGTGTTCTCATTACAGACTGGTCATCAGAGCAACAGGCTAAGAATTCTTAATTTAAAACTATCTGGAATCACCGTTAAATTTACCAAATGTCATTTTTCCAGTGCAGTATGTGCAATAGAAACAATATAATATCATTTCTGAAAAAAACTGATGTTAACTTTCTTAGCTGGTTAAATTTATAAAGCAAATTATAGAATTCATTTAAACTTGCCAACAAAAGTAGTAAAACATTTTAGAAACCTTACCTGTCTCCCTTTGGGACCCCTTTTTCCACGCAGCCCTGGAATGCCCTGAACAAGAAAAGAAGCCCAAGAATCTAGATTTCCTTAACTAAGTTAAAAGTTCATATTATTAATACATCCAATAGATTTCAAAAAGCCATAAGAAACAACCACTTGAAAAATCAGACAATGTACCTATTTCCTGTTATAGGCATTGAGAGGCATGGGATCGGAAAATGCAAATTGTCATCTCTTCATTCTAGAAGGCAGGGTAGATTTGCACCTTATAGACTAACTAAATCAAAACTGTTATAGCATAAGCTTTCATTCAACCAAGATCATTTCCTCAGGTGCTGTGAAAGGATGTGCAAAGAGCAGCATATTATATGGAGACTGTGATTTGAATGTAAAAGACAGGGAAGGAAGGGAGGGAATTTGTCTCTCTAAGTACAGTCTAAACAAGGACTATGGATTTTTAGCCCTTTACCTGGATTAGCTTTTGTGACCCTCTTGTCTTTATGGGTTTACTGCTTCTTGTCTCTCCAAGCACAGTTCTCCCTCCCCACTCTCCCTTCCCTCCCTTCTCCAATTTTTGTATTCAAATCACTCTCTCCATTTAACACATTGCTCTGTGAACATCCTTTCACAGCATCTTGAGCTGACAAAAGTTTATGCCAGGGTTTCTCAACCTTTATAGATCCAAGGTACCTCTCCTTAGACTTAAGGTACCCCTCCATAAATTTTGCAATTTGAGCAGCACCCTATTTCAAAACCTAATTTATTTATTATATGGCTTGCCTCTTTGTAGAGGGGACAGACAGTGGGGGCAGGGAGGAGCCTAGGGAGACAGAGCCTGAGCTTGCTTCTATCTGCCTATCTCTTTATACTTCCTGTGGCACCCTTTAAGGGATCTTATAGCACCCTGGTTGAGAGTCACTGGCTTATGCAATACATCTTTGATTTAGTCAGTCTATAAGATGCAGATCTCTTCCACCTTTGGCATGATTTCAGACTAAAACAGCCAATTACCTCTCTTCATTCCAGGCATTTTAGTTGAATTATATTTGTATGTAAACAGGGCCTGACTTTTCCCTCACAAAGGTGAAAATATAACTTTCCTTGATTTCATTAGTATGTTCAAGATCACAATTGTTTATTTTCAGATTATCACCAGCTGTTTTGTCTTAAGCACATAGCTGACAATTAAGAAATGTTATTGATATATATAATGAAGCTACTCCTATGGAAATTTTCACCACTGATTTTATAGCAAGAAAATAGGCTCCAAATCCTAGTTTTAAATGAAGTCCAAGATTCTGGTTATAATCAATGCATATTTATTAACCTGAATACTATTTTCATTTTATATATTTAATTCATGATAATATAGTTTTATTATTAAATAGAATTATTTTTCCCCCATTAGCCTTTTTAAAAAGTTACACAGATAAGAGCTCTTATTTCTGCATTGCTTGGACTCTACCTGATAATGTGTTTTAAAATTGTAAATGTATCAATATTTCATAAATGTTTCATTAAGCTTACCCTTTCTCCTTCAGGTCCAGGCTGTCCTGCTACACCTGGAGATCCAATGAAACCCTTAAAAACAAATATGCAAGTCTTATGTTTCTCTATTAGAAGGCTGCATCTCACAGACAATGCTAGATAATGATTTACTGCACATTTAAGATACAACTATTATTTTGAGATTGAGGATGAAACCCTGGCTGAGTTGAAATCAATGGCAAAACTCCTACTGGCTTCAATGTGGACAGGATGTCCCTCCTCAAACCCAAAGGCAAAGATGATCATGACCATTGTACAAGTAGAATATAAATCATCCATAATTAGGGGTGTGCAAAATGGGCTGTATTTGATTTGGATTTGGTCTGAATCGGGGACAGTGATTCAATTTGTTGATTCACATCACTGTACTGATTTGATTCAGCGAAATTCGAAGCTGAAGATTCGATGCTGATTCGGAGGCATCAGTACCCAAGCTGGAGGGAGCCCGGGGAGGGGGGAGGGGGAGTGGGTTCCCTGGCGGACCCGGAAGTGGACTGGAAGTGCTTCTGGTCCACTTCCGGCTCCCCTGTCGAGTGTGCTGGGGCCTCCCCATGCTCCTTTGGGATGCTCCATCCACCAAAGCATCTCAGCATTCACGAGCCGCCTGGTACCTTGAGGGATGTAGAAAAAACATAAAGCTGTGTCTATGTCCAAATCATCAAATCTTTCCAAATCTCTCTGAATCAGTTTGGAGGGTTCTGATTCAATTCAGAGAGATTTAAGGGTCTTTTGATTTGATTTGGAGATTCGGCTGCTGAATTGGGCCGAATTTCCTCCGAATTGAATCAGCGACCAAAGCTTCGCACAGCCCTAAAAAATATTACAAAAATACATGACCAGATCACAATGTCCCCATCAAAGAAATATGAAATTAATCTTGTGAGATTAACATTATGCATAACATTTAAAGCAGAAAAAGATGGAAGCCCAGTTTTTGTGAATAACTTTATGTAATTTTTGGTACATTATAATTCTTCCATAAAGTTTACCTTGCCATACATGGTGTTTTCCTGAAAACATGGTAAAGATCTTTTTACCATGTAAGCAGAAGAGTATAATTATGCACACCACTAAAAAACTAGTGAGCAACACCCACTGTTCAAGTCAGTTCAATTTTTGTTTTCTCATGCTTTTTTTGTTGTTGTTTCCAGGTGGAATGGGGCTGCCTGAGAATTATTTTTTGTTGTTGTGTCAAAATCTGGAAATTCATAACTTAACACAACTGCTTTTTATTTTGAAAGTGATATGGGAGGTATCTGCTAGAATAAAATTCATTTATAAGACCAAGAATATAGGCTCAAGATGATAGGCCACATGCTAACCCTTGGCAAACAGAGAGGTCATAGTCCTGAGATTTGTTCCCATAGCATCCAATTAATCACTGGCTATAGGAACAGAAACCAAAAGTTAAGAAAGTAAAGTCTGATGTGAAGAAAGTATTGCATGAAAATGACATTTATAAATTTAAGACAGTTGGGCATTTTTGTAAATGTTGCTCTCTGCTGCTGGTTTAGGAAACAATTCTATTTTTCATCATTACAATGGCAAGAGCAGAAACCTCACGTACATGTAGTTGGACTGAAAAATCATGAAAAGTTATAAGGGACAGGAAATTAATTGTCATGATTCTCTGTTGAACAGCATTTCTTCTACTGGATAATAAGAAAAGATTATAAGAAATTATCATTAATGATTATTCCAACGGCTAGAAAGTGGAGCTCAAATTTTATGTCTGGATATAATGACAACATGAATTACAAGGCCAATTTCCTCTCCTACAAAACTAGTCAAAGGACAACTGTATCAGGAAAAATATAAGTTTCATGTGTACTGAACTATTTAGGGGAATGTTTTTAAAATTGTATTTTTTTAAAATTGTCAATGCATTAATAATTTAATTTCAGACCCTTAAGATTTGTGAACTAATCCAAATGCCCTGATAAATGTAAGCTTGCTCTCATGTCTTCAGTGATTTCTATTATACACCTATGTATTGCTTCCAAATCTCAATTTTCAGGCTTCTGTTGCTGTGCCTGTACAAGATATGTGAGATTCATTTACAAACTGACACAAACAAACGTGCAATACAGGGATTCTATGGATAAAGGCTGTGACCTGGCACAATCAAATGGCAGGAACCTCTGTAGGTATTAGCTACTAAAAAGGAATCATTGTTTTCACATCTACTTCTACCGTCTTCTGATTTTAATGAAATACCTTAACTTATTGTTAGGGAATTTCAGGAAGTACAGTGATCCGTGGTATTGTATATGTGTATACAATATACAATACCACGAGGCCGCGGGCCCCGAGAGTAGGCACCCGGGGAAGTCGGTGGCCTTAAGCCTCCTGACAGGCCGGTAGCCAGGGGGAGCTCATCGGTTGGGGCTTAGGCATCCGGGTCAGAGCCTGGGCTAGGCGTGATAAAGGAGTTTGAGTTGTAGTTTCAGTATTCGTTTTCTTTTGGCTAGCTCGTAGTTGTAGTGTTGTGGAGGCCTTGGGGCCATATGGGCTAGGGGCAGCCGAGAAACCAGGAGGGGTGAAACCCCTAGGCAGATTCCAGCCTGGGTAGCTTGGGTCCCTGGAATAAGAACCACCGGGAGATCCAGGACCTGACACGCGGCGGGGCCACGGGAGGAAGGCCACTAGAAGACCAGCAGCAGCAGGTGGCGATTGGCCGGGGTGTAGGGGAGGTCGGAGCCCCGTGAGTGCCTGCCGAAGGCGCAACGCCCCGGGAGGCGGCATCAACGGAGACCCCCACCACTGAAGTTACATTCAAAGTCGTGGCAGGCGAGGTTAGGGGGCCTCCCGTCACCACCCGAGGCACCTCCCGGGGCCTTTTCGTGAGCCCGTGGCCAGTGAGAACGGCCACTCGGGCTAGAGCAGCCCGAGAGCACCTGATCGAGCGGAGGCGGGCACAAACTGCAATTGCAATAAAAGATACAATGCACAGACCCAAAAACTTGATGTAAACATCTAATGGAACACCATGAAGTACATGGTAAACTCATCAGTAACCTGATTCAGTTAATCTATAAGGTACATCTCTACCCTGCCTTCATCAGTAACCTGTTCAATTGGGAGCCCCATGGGATCAAAAGCCTGACAACCTTCTAGTGTAAAGCAATTTCAAATCTCAGGTTACAAAACACAACTAACACAAGATTCATACCTGATCTAAATCTAATGATCTGCTGAGGAGAGTGAATTTGAAAGAATACACATTTGTATGTATATAAACAAAACAGGAAAAAAAATCCTCTATTTTTCTCTTGAAATTTGAGCTAGGTTTAAGCAACTCTTAAATCTGAAAAATATCAAGATTTGTAACCCAAATGTGTGTGAGTTATATCAATTGAAATAGTTTAGAATCTAACCAAAAATCTGACTGAATTATATTATAAGATTTCCTTCAGCATTTGCAACATTTATAGATCACAAGAGCCAGATGCTCCTTCATTTTTGACAGCTTCTATTATGAAAAATGCTCCAGGTGAGAAATATCCATTCCACTCTACAGTCAGTTCACACACAGTCTCACGGCTTTCTTTTTCTTTTCCCTGCCTGTATAAATTCCAAGAGAAAGAAAAGCATCAAGATGATACTACAGTGCTCGCTTCAGACATGAAAAAGAAAGAAACAATTAACATTTCAAATAAAACAGTTTTGTTATTAGTGGGCTGCAAAACAGATGGAGTGATTCAGTGGATGTACAACTGGCAAATCTAAGTGAAACATCTCATTCCCCTTCCTACATACTATCAATACAAAAATACAGCTGTGTGTGCTATAATGCTTAAAAAAAAAAAAAAAACTTACTTACTCTTACACCTTTAGGACCTGGGTTACCTTCTGGTCCGGCTAAACCCTAATATAAAAAGATAGGTCTTTTAGTTTATGTAAAATAAGCACAAATACAAGACTTAAAAGGGCTATAACGGTAACTGTTAATTTTCAAGCTGACAATATGCTTTTCACAATTATGGCAGTTCAGAGAGGTGTTTTCCTTTAATTCATGTGTAAATTGCCTGGGAATGACTACAGCTTTCTTAACATTTGAGTTATTTTGTGGGTAAGTTCTTCCAGAGCAAGCTGTAATTTTGTCTCAAGTTGTGGAGTTGTTAGCAGTAAAATAATTTCACAAAGCTTTCCATAAACTTTTATGATTGAATGAAGTTCCAGTTATTTTCTGGACAATGCCAGAATAATAAGTTCATTCCAACGTTGCAAAGTATTTTATATGATTAAATGTTGGCAATTTGCCACCACTACTATAAAAACTATTTAATAATACTTTACAATATATAAGCACCAAAATGTTGGTGTAATAAAGTGTCAAAACATTTTAGGTCAGTGGTCAACTTCAGCTGTATATGCAGCCACAGCTCCACTGAAAATTGCACACATGTTATGCATCTTTAACGTCAGGTAAAATGGCTGCCATTTCCTTTTCATGCATCATTTGTACCTACTGGGCTAAGCATTTGTTACAAGTATATTAAAATCAATATTAAAAAGTGCTTGCAAGTATAGCAATAGATATTTTTGTTGGCTCTCTCACAGATATCTGAATGGAAAAAGCACTTTAATGTTCTGTTACCCCATGAAAGGTGAAGAAATATTTTCATTAGATTCAGCAGTAAATAAACATATTTAAAATAAATAAATAATTAAATAAATATGTAAATCAATTTAAACTATAATCTGCTTATTCTGTAAATAAGCAGAAACCATACTGTAGTAGAATGTTTCCTTTTTATTCTGAACTTTAGATCTTAAAAGTTTCAGAGAACAAAGAGAGTTTTCAAAGAAATGCTCAATTTGTATATTTTCTGTAATTTAGTAACAAGATTGGTATGCACTAGAAAGGAACACAAAATTTCTGATTTTAACCTCTTCTGTGTCCAATATGGAAGGTACAATGAACACCGTCTCTGAAAAGGGTTTGTTACAGGGGCTAATGACACAATGTCAGCCAGTGCAAAGCTATTAGTAAACCAGATATTGATATGGTGCTTTCAGAAGTGACATTAATTATACATGGTAGCAGAAAATCTTTTTGAGGGAGATCGGTTTCTCAAATCATTTTCTGCTGATGAACAAGCATACACAGCACACATCAGACTAAAAATTAACCCAAGAGAGACAGGAGAAAATAAATAACTAACCAATACACAGCACGGAAAAGGTGCTCAGTAAAGAAAACATAAATCTATAGCATAGTTACGGCACCTGCCTGCCAGGGTAACCAACTGCTCCATTATTGCCAGTCATTCCTGGAATTCCCTAGATTTAAAAAGAAAAAAAATAGCAATCATCTTTAGTGCATTTTTCACCCGTTGGCAATGTGAAAGTGCTTCATTTCAGTGCAAGACTACTTTTTGGGTGGGTAAGAGAAAGAACCTATGAAACACACTTCTCACGCACAACTAAAGTCAACATTGGCTACTCACTGAGCAATGGAAAACACATTTGAAACACACTGCAAGGAAGGACAAGTCCAAAAGAAGGTGAGTGCTAAAAAGAAGAACACTGATCTGTGAAGAAAAAACTTGGACAGTGTTTGGCAAAATTAGCTGTGCACAACTGGAGATGCCCTTAGGGGAGAAATATTTATAGTGCATATAATTCAAGCTGACACTAATATTAGCCATTTTATTGAGAGTGACACTTTTATTAAACAAATGCACTCATGATAGATCTTTACATCCTTGTGTATCTGAACTTTCTCATATCTGTCTAGGGTTAGGTCAATGTAGACCTAGATTAGGAATGGGTGCAGTAAATGCATATTTTTTCCCTTTGTTCCTTTTCTTATCAAGTTCACAAATATTTTGTAGCTATTTTTGCATGTTTTTAATATCTCCATATTTGACTGTTTTAAAGAAAATATGTTCTTCTGCAATGGTTTCAAGTGATACAATTTCACTGGACACACTGAAGAAATGGGCTCTCTACCCCTAGCTCCTTAGATGATTTATTTAAATAACCTAAGTCCATAGGGTGGCTTAGAAACTGTCCAGCCTTTCCACCTGTTGTCACATGAGAGTCACTAGATCATTAGGCCATGAGGTGCACATAGCTGGTTTGACGTAAAGAAAAACAACCAAAGAACAGGCAAAGCGCTGCTCGACCTGGTGCTGGCTACTGGGGATGACCTAGTCGGCGACCTAGTGATCGATGGGAAGCTGGGTGACAGTGACCACGAACTGATCACCTTCACCATCCGCCGAAAAGCTGGCAAGTCAGTCAGCAACACGGAAGTCCTTGACTTCAGGAAAGCCAACTTTGACAAGCTCAGGAGGCTTGTCAGTGAGGCCCTAAGGGACCATGACCACAGGGAGAGGGGAGTTCAAGAAGAGTGGTTGCTCCTCAAGGGAGCGATCCTCAATGCACAAACTAAGTCTATTCCATCTCGGAGGAAAGGCAGCAAGAGGGCACAGCAGCCCCACTGGCTCTCCAGGGACCTAGCAGACCTCCTGAGGCTAAAAAGAAAGGCCTACAAAGGATGGAGGATGGGAGTCACCTCCAAGGAGGATTATTCTGCACTGGTCCGGTCCTGTAGGGAGCAGACCAGGAAAGCCAAGGCTGCAACTGAACTCCAGCTAGCTTTGAGCGTCAAGGACAATAAAAAGTCCTTTTTCAGATATGTGGGGAGCCGGAGGAAAAGCAGGGGCAACGTTGGACCCCTGCTGAACCAGATGGGGCAACTGACAACTGACGCCCAGGAAAAAGCCAACCTATTAAATAAGTACTTTGCGTCGGTCTTTCATCAG